CACCATTTCCCCCAAAAATAACGTCTCCACCTCCTGCTGCACCTCACACCCCTGTTCCATACTATCGCCAATCCCCACCACCACCTCCACAACTACCACCATTACCAACTTTTCCATCATGACCATCAAAACCACCTCCTCCTCCTCTACTACTACCATCACTACCTCCTCCACTACTACCACCATCGCTGCATCGTCCGTCATTGTCAACATTACCACCGACTCCCCCATTATCACTATCGCCATCTCCTCCACCACAACCGCCTCCTCCAGCATCACTCCCGCCACCTCCTCGTGCATCTCCGCGGAGACATGCAACCTGAACATACGGCACCGTGAGATCCACCCTTCTCTATTCCGATCGTGACGTGGGTCGTGTCTTCTGCGAGTTACTCGAGCAGTTTCAGCGTCCACGCCGACGCCGACGCCGACGCTTGGACTGCAGCCGTTGGGAAACCTCTTGTGTTGATCGATTTGTGATAGGAGATGGCGGCGATGTGTTTCTGCCGGCTGATGAAACGCTCGCGAGCGTCTTCCCTTCTGCTTGCGAAGTCGCGAGGGGGCGTTCCGGGCGTATGCTGGCTGCGATTGGGTGGATCGGGCGCGCCGATTAGGAGCACGCGAGGTGTGGGTTCGCTTTACATACAGCCTACGTCAAAAAAGTTGTTTTCGGCTCTTCGCTGCCTGAATTTACTTTAAAACACACCTGCTCCTGCAATACACTTTCAGTGAATGATGCACGATAAATGAATAATGGTATTGGGAACAACACCAAATTTTAGTTACTGGTTTTATATCGAGAAGAGTTTGGACAATATAAGAATAATGAGCAAAAGCCAATAAGTATTTTTCTCAGTATGCTAATGAAATGATCCACATTAAAATAAGGTTGCGTTTTGTTGTTATAACTTTTAAATAATTTTAATACTAATGTATGGAGAATGTTATATCGATTTTAAATGAGGACTGCAGAAACAGAGCTCTATAGTTACACTGCGGATACTTAATGAAAAAATGTGCCATCAATGTGCAATTAATAATTGAACTTGTTGTAAATAATTGAAACGTCAATTAAATCTCTAGAATAATTAAATTGCTCAACATTTTGAATGTGTTGAGATATTTCGTTTTTTTTAAATAATGAGATAATGAAATTGGTTCTTCCCTAAAGGGCTAATACAATTTTGTCGTACTGATGTTGACGAATATACTAAACTATGATTTATAAACCCATTGAAACAAGTTCTATAAATGTTTGTAGATTCAAATTGTATTGATTGGTCATACGACACATGCATTGTAATAATACATTGACTGTCAATGA